AATAAACTAAGTTTCTTGTAGGTTGGAGAGAGGTATTGGATGGCCTTATATCTAATGTTAGATGCCTCCGCAAGCTAATATTAAGCATTTAGAGGTTCTTTACAAAATAAGTACATTTTATTCTGTATCATAATTTTAATTCTGACCCACAACTATTGCAGAGTAGAAATATTTTGATATTTTATAAGCAACTAATATTAAGGGGTACAGATCTTTGATTATTTCAAAATAAATCACTTAAAAAGTATCTTTTTTTTCCTAGAAAAAAATTACAGATGACTTGTGTAAACATATAACTTACAGGATATCATTTAACTAAGATGTATAACATAAAATGAAATTATTTGTTACAATTAGAACTCTCACTGCGTCTTGAATGATGCCGCTAGAAATTAGCAAAGTCTGCTCACAAAGGGCCAACATCTTTGAACGTTTTCTTTAGCGGCTACCCTTACTCAGTCACAGTCACAGGGAAAAGGCCTGAGGTGATTATCCCAACCTATAGATATAATTATTTCCAATACATTGCAAATTGTGATTCATAGATTATTTTCAAATTTTAAGTTACACTATTTAAGCAAACATATTTACAAAACATGGTGATCAGATAGCCCATTTGTTAGTTATCCAGGCACCACGTACAAAAGGGAATGTGTAATCCGTTACTGACAGGAGATCATTATAATTAGTCCCAGTAATTGATAAATGCCTTTGAATTCATCCTGATAATCTAGTATTTATTGAAGCATCCATCACGGTTCTTAAAATAACTTGTTGGTCATTTCTTCCTCTAGAATACAAGGCATTTGGGATTATAGTGTATTATTTTATCTGTGGTGTCTGTCAACTTTATACTGGGAGCTTAAGAAATATTGCACCAAACTGATTTGAGTTGAATTGAATTGAACTGAACCAGTTAAGTAATTTTAAGAAAAGAAATCCACACCTACGTTCAGGAATTAATCAAACTAATCAATTTATTCTAACTCTTCCCTTCTGACAAAGGCTATTTGAATTTAGCTGTG